CGTTTTATCCAGACCAGTGCAGCTCATACAGAAATGCCGGCGACATTCACCGCTACAGCGAAGTTTATACTTGTCCTTGTCAGAGGTGATTTTTTGACAGGAGTCACACTTAAACTCGGCCATTTTTGCACAAAGAAAAGCAACGACGCAAGGCTGAAGTTCAATATACGCAAGGTTCAAGTTCAATAATTTCACAGGAACATTACCGGTAAAACAGGAACTAGTTTATAAAACAGGAACTAGTTTAAAATTAATTTAGCGAAAGTACACGCACAGCGAACAATAACACTTCGATGTGTTGTCGGTTCAAAACAAAACATCAAACAAATCAAATCAAAACAAACAAAACAAACATTCAACACCCGCAGAGCCTACGAACGGAAAAACACAACCGTCCCGTACGACTGCTGAGAATTGAATACATAATGTGTCTTAACTGAACCATATTTAAAACAGGAAAATCTCCAAATTGATTTTCTCGTAAAGGGTCCCATCTGCCATGGCGTCTTAAAAGTCCCTCATTTTCTAATCTGGCTTGAAGTACATTGGGTTCGTTTACTCTTTGGAGCATTTCTTGAGCCAGCTGTTCCGTGGCTTCCTCCATGTGTAGCGTTGGACGAAAACGGTTAATTAGGGCACAAGCAATCCGGAAAAAGCTTCCCAAATTATTTATTTGCGTATTTGGAAAAATGTTACGAAATATTTTAAATATTGATTGGATATGTCCGTTTCTGCTTTCAATTACCCACCTCTGTTTGGTAACAATTCTGCCAGCATTAGCCTCTGCAGTTGGTAATTGATTTCTGCCTTGTAAAGCTGGTGGAATTTGTACCGATATGCCAACATTGTTCAAAAACTGACGGGCATCACGATAGCCTCTGTCAACAATTAATACGTCACCCGGTTGAAGCCACTGTTGAAGTTCTTGATCTCGATCGTATTGACATCTTAAAATTGCTGCATCATTGTTCCTTGAATCTGCGAAGAATGGGCCATGAACGTCTAAAATATAGCCATCTGGGGCGACCATAAGTACTGGTTTTACAAGGTGACAATGTTTATGGATTGAGAAGGACTGTCTTGAAGTTTGAAAATTTTTACTGCGCTGAATATGTAGATAGTTGCCATCAATACAAAGAATTGCTTTTGGATTTTCAGGTTCGTCATTAAATAATTGATTAGCGAAAACTGTCACGTGTTGTGCAATAAACTGCTCCCGATTTATATGGGCAAGACCTAAATTATGAGGCACAAAATTAAGAATTAAAGACTCTCTCAACTTGTTCATAGCTAAAGACACAGATTGTCGACTACTGTACGAAAACATAGTTGCCAAGAAAATATCGGAAAGTCCTTGTCTTAGTTTACATAAAAAACATAATAAATCATTTTTCGTAATTGTTCTACTTCTCCCATAAATATTTACATTAGCGCAAACATCGAATACCTCCCGAAATTGCGCCTTATCTAAAGAAGATAATGCACATAGTTATTCATCACTAAAATGATTTTCATGTGAAAAGATAACATCTCTTTGGCTACTTTCTTGCATTTTAGACATGAAAGAAGAAAGCTCTCTTCCTTTTAATTCGTAAGGCCTTCTAAGGGATCGAATTCCATTTTGTACGGGATAAAGTAAAAAACCATTATCGTCCAGATGAACAGGACAAATCCTACAGATGCTGGGTATGTATATACCTTTTTGTATAAAGGTTGAAACTCTTGTTTCTAGCGATAATTGTTGAATGTTTTCAGGATTTTCGCAAATAAGACATTGATGTGCACTATATTTTAGAGGTAGATTCATTATCGTTGGATCGGCGTCCTCTTCATAGGCATGAATTTCCTCTAAAATGCTTTTATTGCAATTTAGGCATAGACGACTATTACCATTCACTTCCATTGCCGCCGGTAGTGAAAGTTCTTCTCTTCGCCTCTTGGCAATATTCACTTTTTGGTTATCATTTTGCCTTAGGATGGCCATCTGTCTGGGATTACCCTCCACTTCACATATAAAACACTGAATTTGCAATCTAAAAGCCATTTTTAAGCATTGACTAATTTTGACAACTTTCTAAAGACAAAAATTGGTTATAAAATGTTATCACATAACCATGATTATTGTTAATTTAATATTCTCAGTAAGCATTGTTTCGTGAGGGTTCATACTGTTTGCCTTCCTTTTTTAACAAATGGAAATTGACTGGAACAAATCAATGACGTCAAAAACGTTTGTTGGTTCTTAAACCAGAAGTCATTCATTTTAATTTGTCAAAAAAATTGAATATGTCATATGAATTAATCTACGACAACCCTTTTTTTCCAAATTATGGCATTTTCGATGTCAAAAGTATGAACCCTGGTGAAACGGACCTAAGTTATTTTTGTGCCTCAGAATTTAGGGACTACATATGGAGCAAGACTCGGAACAACTGGCTCAAGAAAGTAGGCTATATAGTAGTCCCTATCTCAATCATATAAACTGCTGGCAAAAAAAAAACGGGACAAGTAATTTTTAGCACCATATTCAATTTGTAATAACTTTTTCAAAATTATGTTTGTTTTAATGAGGTTTTTGGTATTCGAAAGCCCATGTATATCTCATTAGAATTTTTTTTTTTTTTTAAGGAATGCATTTCTCAAGTAGGTAATATACTGGGTGAATAATAAACTAATGCAAAAGAACAAAGTTGGATGTCTGTCATATTTCTTTTCTCGGATTCGAACAGCATTGCAGGTTTCGAAAGATTATTTTTTTAAAGGTTCCGGGACACTTTTACAGTGGGGGAAAACGTTTCACAATCCATTAAAACGTAAGCCACATCTTTTCAAAATGGTGGTGCTAAAATGGATCTTCAGGAGGTTTTGCAAAAACGATCCGTCCAAATCGTCTCGAGATATTGGCCCAAAGTATCGCCTAACCAATTTTGAAAGCAAACAAAAGGCATATAAACCAATTTGAATAGATTTTTAAAAAGAACAATTATCATAATTTGCCTAATTTGAGGTGTATGATTTTCTTGACCCCTGGTATAATGTGAACAGGGCCAGCTGCAAAAAAAGCGATTGAGTCGTGGAACCTCTAAAAAAAAAGCTTTCGAAACCTGCAAATATGTTCGAAATCGATGCAACCGTTTTCAAGCTACAGCCTTTTAAACATTGTGCTTACAAGAATTTTCCAACTTTGTCATTTAGTAGTGTATCTGCTGCCAAAGGGCACTTATCGAAAAACTGGCCAATACGTCCGGACATCCAATCAAGTATACGGAAATCCGAAAAAAAAAAAAATTGCCAATATGGCATCAGACATCCAAACTTTTTGTACTTTGCATCAGTCTATTATTCACCCTGTATATAACTTGAAAACTGCATTTCTTCGAAAAAAAAATATTTTTCTCACCTGAAATTCAACATGGACTTTCGAATACCAAAAACCTCATTAAAAAAAAATAATTTTAGAAAAGTAATCACAAATTGAATAGGTGTTAAAAATTTCCTGACCGGTTTTTTTTTGGCCAGCAGTTTAATTCTTGCATTTGAGCCCGGTTGTTGGGTAAAGCCTGTAGTGTATAGTATAAATAAATAATAATAATTATTAATAATTATCGTAATATTCATCGAAAATGCGTTCCATGGTGTAATAATGCATATTGGACATTCACACATTGGACACCCTGTATCTCAAAAACTAGTCATAGGATTGAGTTGAGCCCATGGTAGTTATTGATCAGAATGGTCAGATCTATAACATACTAAAATTTGGTGAAATTTGACCGCGGTCAGAAATCCCATAAGAAGTGTGGGGTCCTTTCAAAAATTATGTAAAATTACGAAAATTATTGGAAATTTACGTAATATGGAAAAATATTAACAAAAATACAACAATTTCAAAAAATCATGGAAATTACATTGATTATTAAAAAAATTGAGAGAAGAATTATAAAATTAGAAAAAAATCGAGTTAAACGGAAAACAATGAAATGATTGAAGAAATTACGGGAATTAAAAAAATAACAGAAATCACGAAAATCATAAAAAATTACGGAAATTAGGAAAATAATACAAAAATAAGGACAATTAGAATAATTATAGGAATTGCAAAAATTACGGAAATTACGAAAAATTGAAAAAAAAAAAATATCGGAAATAACACAAAAATTAAGGAATTTGTTAATTAACGAAAATTACGGGAATTGCAAAAATTGCAGAAATTACGAAAAATTTCGGGACTACGGAAAATAATTAAATTTTCAAAAAATTATGGAAATTAGAAAAGTTACGAAAATTCTGGAAATAAATCATGGAAATTGATCAACAAATTGCAAAAATCGAAAAAACCTATGATTTTTTTCAAAAAGTTAGAAAATAACAAGAATTACAAGAATCAGGAATTATAATAACAAAAATTATAAAGACCGGGAAATTATAAAATTTCAAAAAACGTCCAAGAAATTTAAAAAATTTCGACAATTGAAAATTGGATTAAAAATTACGAAAACTATCAAAGTTACGAGAATTATAAAAAATTACGGGGATTACGAAAAAGTTACGGTAATTACGAGAATTAGAAATTACAAAGGCTTTCGGGAAATGATTTTGAAAAATGCCCAGAAAAAATACGGAAATTACGGGAATTACCTACTAATTTTTGAAATATACAAAAAGTGGAATTATAAAAATAACGAAATTTTCTGAGAAACTACGGGAATTAAAAAATTACGAAAATTTGAAGAACAACAGGAATTAATAAAAAAAATTATAAGAATTATTTGAGAATTGACAGGAATTAAAAAATTTCTAAAGAAAAATTACGGAAATTACGAGTCTTCGAAAATCACAAAATTTGCTATAATGAGCTCTTTATTTTCTTCTTTTTCTGGAAAATTTTCACAATTTTCTTGCCAGTTTCCCGGTTGTAAGGGGGTGAATTTTGCCTAAAAAAGTCAATTTCCCAGAATTTTTCCTGGAGTGATTTTTGACTGGAAAATTTTGAAATTTTTCTATAATAACTTTTCTTCTACTTCTGGAAACATTTCATAATTTTCCCTTTGCCAGATTTCTAGAAAAAAATTAAAATGTAAGAGGATGAACTCTCCTTAAATTTGCTGCAAAGTAAGTTTTTCAAAATTTTTCCTGGATTAATTTTTTACTGAAAAATTTTGAAATTTTCGTAAAATGAGCTTCTCATTCTCCTCTTATTCCTGGAAAATTTTCAAAATTTTCTCTTTGCAAGTTTTCTTGAAAAAAATTAAAATTTAGGGGGTGAATTTTTTTTAATTGCTTAAATAAATCAATTTTTTAGAACATATTTGAAATTTGAGTCGTAAAAAAAAAGAATCACCCTTTGTCGTTTGTAAATGATATTTAAGAACACTCTGTATAATACGCAGTTAATTGACTTATATATTTGGGACTCCAATGATTTTTTAAGAGCTGGTATTTCAATGTCACCTTAAGATATAGAATAAACATAGACATTGAAAACATGGTCTGACCTTGTTTGATGACGTCATCCTAAATGTTAATATAAGATAAAAACCATATATTTTAAGGTAAGTCTTGATTTTAACCATAATAATTGCGAACGTGCTCTATGAATTAATCAACGACAAATACTTTTTTCTTAATTATGACGTCATCGATGACGTAAGTAAGTACAAAAAGTGCAAAAAAAAACATAAAATAATTTGTTAGGTAGTGCTATGGTGGGATGCCGAATAGGAGTGCTAAATTTTGCTTTAGGGGTGCTTAGCACCCCCAAGCATTCCCCTAGTTGCGCCTATGTTGATAAATTTACCTGCACCTTTGGATATCGGATTGTGGTACAGGATATAATTATTCATACCACTTTTGAAAATGGTGAATTCACAATTCAACGTTTAAATAAAAATACCTACCTAATAAAAAATTTTAGGAGTGTTTTTTGAACGACTTCTGGGTCGAAATTTGGGTTAGTTTGGGTTACTGAAAAAAAAATTTAGCCTCCGGCGGGGGGCTTGTGATGGGCTCGCAGAAATTTTGGCACAAAGGCCCGGAGCTGGGTTGATATACGCTACTGCTAGTTCCCAGTACAACGACCTTAAAATTTTATAACTCATAACACCAAGTCGGACAATTTTGTTCATATCTTCAACCTGGATGATGGGACATTGTCGCGCTAACTCTTCGTGAAGTTGTCATTCTGACGTCACCAAGAACGTTGATAAATGTACGTGTAGTTAGTTTTGATTCCAATCGACTGTTTTTTATGTTATATTAAAGATATCACATTTGTCGAATAAAAATCTCGTGGCATTGGGGGGGTCCGACGCTCCCAACATGATATTGTGGTGGAGTGATCCCCTATTGAGGAAAACCACCTATTTAAAATACTATTTCTTCAAATCTTAACTTTTTAAAAAAACGTTTACTGAATAAAAATAAATGTTGCAACCATGTACTGCGCCACAAAGTTTAGATGTAGGGGAGAACGAGGGTACCGAACCGAATGGAAGGTGGAGTTAGAGAGAATACGCAACTAGACTAGAGAACAAGCTGGGTTGGTCCTTTAGTCGCGTGTCCGTAATTATTCATTATTCAATTTTTATTTTTATTTTGCATTAAATTGATTGTTCAATCCAATTTGTTATTAGTGTGTGTGTCAAGGAGCAATCACAGGTCAGTTGATTAATTGGTATTTTTGTTAGTTCAATTATTTATAGAAGTATAATTTTTTTCATTTTTATGTTTTTTTTTTCTTTGTTTATAACATTTTTCATAACATGTGCATTGTTCATGTATTTAACAAAAATCGCTTCATTAGAGCCTTGTTGAATTTACTAACATTTTCCTACGGGAAAATATCCTAACAAATTGAAATAATCAATCTAGGGATATTGGCTCAAAAACAACTATAGCTGTGAGTTACCGTAACCAGGTACCTCAGTACCTGCCACAGATGGGCTAACAAAAAACTCTTCAGTATTGTTTATAGGTAGTGTTGATTAAATGTAGTGTTATGTAATTAAAATTTTAGCACAAGAACAGGGGCGGTACCTAGTTTCAACTTTTATTGAATTAATGACTCACAATTAATATTCAAATGACACAGTATGTATCGATTTTTGAGGAATGTAGATCGAGGTTTTCTCTGCCGTGCTCTTTCCCCTCGTTAGTTCTAGGATAAGAACGGTACGATCTACTTTAATAAAGAAGTAGACGTTTCACAAATTTTTCGTTTCTTTTCATATCACGACTTCCCTTAAATTTCCCAAATATTTGCTATGTCGGGCGCATGTACAGTAAGTAAAATTGAGTAAGTTTCCACAACGTAGGTCCTATTTGTTTTTCATTTCGTTTTTCAGAAGTTTTGTTATTTAAAAGGGTATAAAAATTCTCATCGTTCAAACTTACTGAACGAACCCGGGTATGTTATACTACACTATGATGATGATAATGATGACAACAGTATTTTTTTTAAATTATTAATTTTTTTTTTTTTTTTTTTTTTTTTTTTTTTTTTTTTTTTTTTTTTTTTGGCTTTGAGCATAGCTCACTTAGCCACGAAAACATAATTCAAAAGTTCAAACTTTAGCTAACCATTCACCCAACGATATACAGATAAAAAAAAAAAAAGGAAGGAATCTAGCAAAAAAGATAAACACATGGACACACGCTTCTCGTCCTGGGGTCTATGCAGGACATTTTTAAACTTTAACAAAACACAGGTGGACCCGGTTAGGAAGGATGTAACATATAAGGAAAAAAAACATAGGAATCGAAACAATCTCTAATTATCTTTCAAATAAGGACTTTACATAATTTTAAGTAATTAATAAATATATTTTCCAAGTTATCATCTGATAAAATAAGCTTAATTAAACCCTTGTGGTTCATAGGTATGAGATGGAGTTTTTCCAATTCTCTTCTTAAGAATGAAGTTGCCAATTCATTGTGTCTACAACTAAATAATCTATGATTCAAATCATCTTCAGATTGGTTATCACAAAAGCATCGCGTGTTCTCGCATAACTTAAGCTTATACATGTGTTTATTAAAATTTCCATGCCCAACTAAAAATCTGAAATAGGAAACAAACACATTTCTGGAGAATTTAAAACGTTCCATTAGTGGCTTTTTATTCAATCTAGGATAAAAGGAGTTATACAAATTAGGGGAGTTAACTGCCATTGCAATATAATTACTGCGCCAAACTTCCCAAGATCTTTTTTTGATTATTTCGAAAAAGTCCGAATATGGAGTAATTTCCAGGATCTCTTCTGATACGATCGCCTCTCTTGCTGCATTGTCAACCAATTCGTTGCCTTTGAGACCTGTATGTCCCTTAACCCATACAAACTTGACAGAAATATTTTTAGAGCACAAAACAGAGAATACCTCCAATACTTTGGCTATAATAAGATTCTTACAATTCATCGCATTTTTGAGAGACTTCAAAACTGACTGAGAATCAGAGAGAACAATAGCTTTGAAAATATTTCCCTTTGACAATATATGATCTAATGCTTTCAATATTGCTAGTGCTTCGGCAGTGAAGATAGATGCATTATTTTCACATTTGTATTTTTTAACATAATTCAATTCAGGTATAGCAATTGCACATCCTACTCCTGAACTATTTTTAGCCCCATCGGTATATATTTGAAGATAATTTTCATTCTTGCTTAAGACTTCCCTTAAATGGATAGAATTTACTGAGGGCAACTCCGAAAAATTCGGAAATAGAATTTCAGGTTTGAGATATATCAAATCAGATGGAAAATGAAATAGTATATATTTGTCTTGTTTTGTTATAATGTTATGAAATTCTGATGTATTTACAAATGCATCCGCTAAAACAGGACTTTTCTTATTTCTCCAGTATGACTGAGTTAGATTAGAAATATTCAAGATAGAAATTTTATTAAGCAACGAGTTATGTACGTATTGAACATTTTTAAGAATAAATTTTTCTGCTAGAATTTTTCGTCTTATTTCTAATGGAACTTCATTACATTCAGAAAGTAGAGCCTGGATTGGGGTAGAGCTAAAAGCACCTGTTACAAGTCTTAGAGCTTTGTATTGCAGCCTATCGACTTTAACAAGTCGGGATTTGCAAGCAGAACCATAAAACATAGCGCCAATATCCAAAATTGATCTTGTAAACGCTTTATATAACATTAAGCAAACTTGGGGATCGGATCCCCATGACCTAGATATTACTGCTCTCATAATATTAAGACTTTTTTCGGCCTTCTCAGTTATATAGGTAATATGTTCTTTCCAAGCCAATTTTTGATCCAACAAAACTCCCAAATACTTAAATGTTTCAACCCATGGGATAACACAGTTGTTAAGTGTAATTGTTGATGTTTTCTGTAAACGATGCCTAGTAAAAACCATCATTGCTGATTTTTTATTTGAAATATTGAAGCCATTGCTGAGAAAATATTGATTGCAAACATACATAATATGTTTTAGGTTGGTTAAGCATGCATGCATGCTTTTTTGCTTGGTATAGATACAAAAATCATCAGCGTATTGTAACTGAGAAGCATTTAACCCCATTGAATGAAAATCCGTTGTGTACATATTAAAAAGTAATGGGCTTAATACTGAACCTTGGGGGATGCCAGATGAGACAATTCTGGTTTCGCTAGTATCATTACCTATTCTAATGGATACGCCTCGATTGATATATAATCTCACTATATTATTAGCATTTGCTCTAGGCACATCAAATTGTACTAGTTTATCTATAAGGATTTCAAGATTGACATTTTCATATGCACTGGATATATCCAAAAATATAGCCGCCAAATAATCATTATCAGAAAATGTGTTCTGTACATCAGTAACTAAATGTGCCAGACAATCATTTACGCCGCTACCCTCGCCTAAATCCGAACTGATGGGAAGGAAGTAGTTTTTTAGATTCGCACCACCACTCTAAACGATATTTGATTATTCTTTCCAGAGTTTTTAACATACATGATGTGAGCGAAATTGGCCTAAACTCGTCAGTTTTACCTGGTTTGCATATTGGTACCACCAGTGCATTTTTGATTTTCGAAATATCATCACCTCTACACATAATTTTATTGAATGCGTCTATTAACAACTGCATAGCAGGAAGGGGTAAATGCTCTAACATACTATAAGTGATTCCGTCCGTACCTGGGCTAGTGTCTTTATGTTTTCTGACATTATTGATGAATTCTGATATAGAAATAGGTCGTGATAAAAAATGATCGCTTGACGCATTCATTGGTGGAATATCGCGTGACACAAAATCAGGTGCTATTTTATTCAACAAAATATTGACTGATTCCTGGGAAATTGTGTTGTTTATATGTGTATTTAAACCACCCTTTATCAAATTAACTCTATTCCAAATTTTGGAAGGAGGGCTCTGGGCGTTCAAACTACTACAAAAATTAGCCCAACTTTGTTTGGATTTTCTTTTATAGGTAAGCTTACACTTAGCTGTTAAATTATTACACTGAATGTAGTTTTGGAGATTGGAATTATTACGAAATTTTTTAAACATTTCTTTCCGACTGTTGGATAAAATTTGGCATTCCTCGTCCCACCATGGTACAAAGGGTTTTTTATTTTGAAAAACTCTTTTAGGAAAAAGTTGGTCGGCAGTTTCACCAATAACATTGATTAATATTGAAATAATTTCATTTGCCTTGTCCGGTACTTCCATAAGGTTACTAATTTTGTCCTCTATGCATTGACCAAAGGAAACCCAGTTGGCATTTTTGAGTTTCCACCCAACTAAATTATGTGACGGCGCAAGATTACTTTTATTATTCAATGTCAATTTAACAGGAAAATGATCTGAGCCATAGGAATCTTGTAAAACTTCCCAAGACGAGATATTACTGATGTTTGAGGAAATAATAGTTATGTCTAAAGCAGAACTACTTGTGGCTCCTATTCTGGTATGCTCCCCTTCATTCCTTATTAGTAAATTGGGAAAATTGTCTAATGCATTTATTATTGTGTTCCCCGGTGCATCATTAATATTACAACCCCATAAAGTATTGTGGGCGTTGAAATCACCCCCAATTATAGAAAAGGACTTTACAGAAGAAAAAATTTTACAGTAGTCCGAAACACTTATTGCCACATTTGGTGGTCTATAAATAGACACAACAGATATTAACGTATTATGGATAGATATGTCTATACCACATAGTTCAATATTGATATTATCGAACTTTGGGAATTTGATATTAGAAAAGGAAATTGATTTTTTAATTAGTATAGCCACACCGCCTTTACCATTAATTCTATCTTTTCTTATAATATTAAAACCTTTAAGACTAATTTTGTACTCTGGTTTATACCAAGTTTCACTTAAAAGGGCAATATCAAAATTAGTATCTTGTAATAAGTTTTTTAACAAATTATGGTTTGAATACGCAGATCTAGCATTCCAGTGAATTACAGTTAGTTGTTGTGTGAAGGCTGCCATTGTTGAAAGATATTTTTGAGGGTATTATTGATTATATAGCCTATATTTTCTATTATATTTGATACATCAGGAGATTTCACACCCCTGATTGAATTATTTATTTGACAAGTTAAATCTTCAACTATTTTATCCTTTAGACCTTCAAAAGTATTTTTAGTGTTTATCTGATGAGACTCAATCCAAGGTGCACCTGTATAGGACCAATCAAATTCTCTGCTAACGGGTTCAAAAGAAGGACTTCTATCACTGACTTTCCGTTTTTTATAATTTTCATATACACTGGAAGAGGGAGTAGACTTGCTGGAATGTGGATGAGCTACAAATGTCGTTTTTGAATTTGGGGGATTAGATTGATTTCTATAGTTCGGTGGTAATTCAGGAAAATCGGTTTTTGAAGACAATGGAGCAAATTTATTTTTCGAAACGAGGCTTGCATAAGATGGGTTATCTACAATTTTTTCGGCTTCTTTAAAGGATACATTAAGATTTGCCATCGCCTGCTTAATTTTAACCTGATTGTTATATTTAGGACATTTTTTACTAGTAGAAATATGAGAATTATCTTTACAATGAACACAAAAAGTCTCACAATCAGTACACAGTCCCTCGTCATTTAATATTTTAGAACAGGTTTTGCATCGTTTTTTGCTTTTACACTGGGAAGCAGTGTGACCAAAATTTAAACAATTATAACATTGAGTGACCGGGGAGTACCGTCAAGCTGGGTGACTTGAGACGGCCGGGCGAGTTGAGACAAAACTTTTGAGGAAACCAAATATATACCTGGCAATAATATATCCGACGCATTTGGGCGCCAATCGTATTTATTCGACTTAAGGGTTGTCAAGACGTGTTATAGTAATTTTGGACCACCGCGGAAGCGATAAGTAATTTTTTGTGCATTTTTTTACGCGTGTATGTAATTGTTGAACTAAAAAATTGCTGAATAACTTTGCATACTGTGTCTATACTGTCTAGGACTGCCTATTGAAACTTTGCTCAGAAATAGATTGATATTTTGGGCATCTTCTGGAATATAGTAAGTTACTTTCCCTTTTAAAGAAAAAAAAATATATATATGAAAAGGTAAAAAGGCGGCTGATGCGTGTGACTTGAGACTTGTCTCAAGTCACCCCAAAACTATTCAGAGTGTAATTATGTGCCTGTTTCAATTGTTTTTATTGTGTTTTCAGCCTATTATGGGAAAATACAAACGAAAACTTGACTCCTTGGCTGCAGGCCCTATGCTGATTCTGATAGCGAAATGTTGAAACGAGCGATTGAAGAACGAGTGAATCCTAACGAATATTATCAAAAAATAATGGCATTTTCAGGTGCACTATTCAACGAAAAGTGAATAATCTTAATACAAAAAATCCCGGTGGTCAAATAGTCTTTACAGTAGAATAGGAGCAGAGACTTTGTGGAAAATTTAGGAGTTTCTTGCCGTAGGGGCTTTCTAATTATGGGAAATGACTTAAAACATTTAGTAAAGTCGTAAAGACGGACGGGGTGATCAAAAATTCAAGAAAAATAACTTGCCTGGAAAAGATTATGTCCGGCTTTTTTTGAAGAGACATTTTCAGATTTCAAGCACTCATTGCTGTGACAATATCAAACTTGCTAGCGCTAGGAGTCAATAGCCACCTTTTAAAAAACGTTTCTTTTGTCTCAAGTGATCCTTTTGGTTTGAAACATGAGCAAAAGCTTGAAATATATGGTTGTCTCAAGTAACCCACCCTAGCGTCTGACATGAGACAGTCAAAAAAAATAAAAAAAACCCTGGGTAACTCGTTATTCACATAAAACTCAACTTATAAAACCGATTCTACGGGTTAAGACTCAACTTTCGACGTGTTTAAGTCATCACTAAGTTAAATAGTTTCGATAATATCGCTTGCTGAAAGTCAAAATCGTCTCAAGTCACCCGATTTTACGGTACCAAGTATCAACTTCGTATCTCAATCGGTACATATAAACAAATTGTGGCAGGACTAAATTATCGAAAGTTACAATAATCTGCTGCCTAGGAACTTTTACTTTATTGCCATCCTTATCGAGAACAAATTTAAATCTCCTCTGCACTGCCTTAATTGGAACTGACGACTTCAAAATTTTCAAAATTTCTTCCTCTGAGAAAGATGTATCAACATTACGGATAAGGCCTTTTTTTTGAGTAAGATGAGAGGGAATATATGCAATAAGATTGTTACTTTCAAATACCTGATTTTCAACTATTTTGTTGGCACCTATAGCGGATTTACACATAATCTGGACCCTATTTCGACCAACTGTGTGCAAGAAATCAATATCATTTTCATCGCCATTCAGATTGAATAATTTTTCACCAATTTTGAGAGGATGCAATCTACCAAAATTTAAATATTTATGCTCCACAAAAACTGAAAATGGACCGTTACTATTTGTTTTATATCTATTTTTCAAATCAATTCTATTTAATCTATCTGAAATCTGTTTATCATGTTGAGTTTGAGAATTAATATTATTTTCTATGGACTCATCTTCATTTATCATCATATCATTGTATGTGAGATCGACTACTTTAATATTATTTTTATCAGGGGGTGGTTTACCCTCTTTATGATTATTGCCCCCCGCCATGATTAAGACATGAACGGAGAGCAATTAAATTATCAAATAAAATATAGTAATAGGAAAAGATACAACTCACAGAAAATATCCTTCAATAAATACCAAATATTTAAGGAATGCTGCAAACGCACTAAAAACCAAGGTCGGTAAGAGCACAGGTCCGAAAACTATCGTATCTGAAACCGAACTGAATTATTTATTGAAAAAATGGGAATTTTTAAAGCCAACTCAAAGCGAGGGTAGGTATTTTTATTTTGGATCATACAACTAATTAAAAATAATACAGCGATTAAATTCAAATATGGTAAAACTCTCCATTATCAGAAATATATACAGGCCTGTGATGTATCTTCTCCTGTTATTTTACCAGTTATGTTATAGCTCAACTTCCATACTTCCTATTTTGACGTAGGTATAGAATAAACAATGACAGATAACTTAACTTTGCTGTTAAAATAACTTAAGCGTGATTGATGTTCAAGCTCCTCTCTCCAAATTTGCGTCACATTTTTGTCAATACCTGCTTTGTATACTTTAAGATTAAAGATTATTAAAATGAGTCATAAATGATTTATTATTAGATTAATCGTGGATAAAATTGGAAACTAGCGGTTTAGATGACTTCCGCCAGATATTCTCAACCCTAATTTTATAAGATTGTTTATTCCTATGGCCCTCAATAGATACACAATAATTACTACATAAAGTATTTTTTTTATAGGAGAATAATTTCTTCTGGCTCAGCCACCAGTATTATCGGAACAATGGTTAAAACGATAAAAAATGACTTTTTTACAGCTCGTAACCCGCGGCAATTATATACACTCACGTTTATTCTTTGGGTTTTCGCTTTCGTTATTTCTCCAAGGCAAAAAATAACCAATTATTATTTCCTACTACTGTTACAGAAAACATCCATTACACAAAGGTTTCTATAGGAAAAAGAAAATAATAAAGTTCTATTACCATCTGATATGAAATGTGTTTTCATGTACCAGCGGCGGAAGAACACGCTCGGTGCAAATTTGTTACAAAATAGACACCATTAACGATTCAACCAACAAAACATTCTAGTCTGGTAAGTTAATTATAGAAGTTTTCGCTTTGCATAGTTTTAGTTCTGTTGCTGTGCAGTCTATTTACGAAAGAACGCCCGACAAAATTGGAATTTACATAACTTTGTTGGCGGTTCGGAATAATCAACCTAATTTAATTAGTTGTGCGTTTGTTGTTGTGATTTTGATTGGGAAATTTATCTTAATGGAGAGAAAGTTTTAATAGAAATCGTTTACGTTCGAAACTGGACTGAATTATAGATTTAGTGGATCAATTCATTACTGAGGAATAATGAGTTATTAAATTGGGTTTTTGTAGTCACATTTCTTCATACAATTTAAGATTGAATATGAAAATTTCGTATTCCGAAACTTTAGCTATTCTTCAAGTTTTTGTAAAACATTTCGCCCTCAGAGTGGGAAGTTAATTTTTTTCTATTTTGCTCAGAAATTGATGTTTCCTAATAAAAGTTTACAAATTGAACCACACCTAGCCTGCCTGAATACTGGGGAAACTTATTAAGAAAGAGTTGAAAGTATTACAGTATATTTTGAATTTTGAAATTATTACGAACTATAAAACTTTAATATGCAATGATATAACTGGTTTTAATTCTGTAAAATTTGGAAATAAATCGATTAAGATTTTTCAGTTGAACATTTGTAGCGTTAGAAAAAACTTGGATACATTGTTAATCTTATTGTCACAACTTAAGGTGAAATTTGATGTCATAGTACTCACAGAAACATTTTTATTGGAGAACACAGATATCTTGGGCATGGATGGGTACAATCTGCTATACAACGGTGGCAATATAAATAAGAACGACGGTGTGCTTGTTTATATTAGTAGTAAATTCATTTATCAGTATCAGATTAAACTCTTGTCAAATATGAAAATTCTTGATATTGACATCATTGATACTCAGAATAACTCATTTAAACTAATCGCTTTATATAGACCATCAACAGATGTTGATACTTTTAATACAGATTTGTTGAATTATATAGCTCTTTCACCAAAAACGGATATTCATGTAATTTGTGGTGATACTAATGTCAATATTCTGGAGGAAAAACAGGATCTAAACCATGTACAAAACTACCTTAACCTTTTCAGTGCAAATTCATTTATTTCTTACATTAATAATGTTTGTACTTGGGAGAGAAACCTGCAAAAATCCTGTCTAGATCATTATTTCGTAAAATCTAATTGTAGTGAAGATGTAAAACCATATCTGCTTAAATTCAAAATCACGGATCATTTTCCTGTAATACTAGAAATAGATAAATAATCAACAAAATACCAACTCTAATAATTTTAAAAAATGCTATAAAGAATATATTAATTACAACCAATTAAAACGGGACTTTGAAAGAGTGAACTGGGACTCATTTTATGCTTGTCAGGATTTAGATGACATGAAATATATATTGATAAGTAATATAGTTAATACTACTCAAAAAATTACCAAAAAAGTTAAAATTAATAAACTGTTAATCTCTAGAAAAGGATGGATTAGTAAGAATCTTGTTAAAACAATCAATAAAAAAAATGAATTGTACCAAAATCTTAAAGCATTTCCAAATAATTTAACAATAAGACAAAACTACAATAGATGTAAAAGGAGTCTTGCTAAGTCTATTGCCGATTCAAAAAAAAGTTATTTCGAACAGTTAACAAGAAATAAACAAAATAGTAAACAACTATGGGACTCTGTCAACAGAGTTTGTAATGTCATATTCCTCCATAATATCATGACATTGTACCTTTTACGACCCTCGAATACTTTCCCAAATAATGTCTCGCCGTCGCCGAAAGCAATACTATTATATGACCCAGACTTTCTGTTAAAGAACCCAAAGATATTGTATGTAAATAAATTAAACATTTGTCCACCATAAACCCCAAAATTCCCAAATATCCTTAATGGTCATTCTTTGGGCGAACAGACTGTCATTTATTGCCAATATTTATTTAGGGTTTTCCAGTTGTAATTATGTAGGTTTTAGAAACGTTTTAGAAGGGATGTAAAGGTCGATTTGTAAGAGATCTAGTGAAGCAAGAAGCCAGTCTTAAGACAGCTTCAGTCGTAGTAACACATTTTGTTAAAACTCTCTCTAAAATAAGTCTTACTTTTGCTGTAGTTCAATTTCATTCTATATTCCATTACCTAATAAAGCTACAAGTTTCAAACCAAAAACAAAAGTAGTTTTAACCAAGGCAAAACACTGAAGGATCACAACAGATTTTGGCGCGGTCGGTACGATTCAGAAGTATCTAGCAAGATCCAGCAGGATTTGGATACAAAGATTCAAGACATACCATAGTCAGCCAAAGCTATCATCAGCGTTGACCAGTATTGGATTGAATCACAGTTGTTGTGTAACCACTAGCTTTCAAGTTTTTTGGTAAGTGATTTTTGTCTCTTAATGAGGTTACTTTTGTTTGTCTAACTCCTTTATTAATACTTATATGCCACTATGACTCCTCCTGCCATAAACCCAGACCTACAAACAATATTATTAGAAACTTTTCAAAACATTTTTAATCAACTTCCTTCGTCAAATTCCAACCCAAATAATGGTAGGTTTTCCGTAGATTTTTTATGCAAACTAATACCTAATAGTTTTGATGGCAATCGTCTTGAATTAGGGCAATTTTTAGCGAATTGTAATAATGCCAATGTATTAGCACAGGACGATCAGAAAAATCCTCTTTTATATTTTATTTTATCTCGAATCGGTGGCAAAGCTAAAGAACAGTTAGCTACCCAAAACTTTGATAATTGGGATACCTTAAAAGACGCTTTAAAAACTTTATATCAAGACAAAAAACATTACGTTCAATTAATGGAAGAGCTAAATAATTGCAAACAAAGTCCTAACGAATCAGTGAAAGACTTTTTTCAACGTTTGGAAACAATTAACTCGCGATTGATATCTACTACTCAACAAAATTGCACAGAACCGGAAGAGATTCCTGGAAAACTGAAAATGTTGAACGAAATTGCTTTGAATAGATTTATTTATCATTCGAAACCCGAAATTTCGCGAATGTTGAGATGGAAAGATTTTGATTCGATTAATTCTGCGTATAGTGCAGCTATTTCTAAAGAACGCGCTGTGGCTATGTCGCGCAGTTCAACTCAGTTTTGCAAAAATTGCAAAAACAACTCGCATTCTACAAATAATTGTTTCAAAACAAGAAATCATGATGCAAACGTAAGAACTTTGTTTACGAATAATCAGATATTTTGTCGTTACTGCAAAAAACAAGGGCATGTTATTGAAGAATGTAGAAAAAGACAATATAATAATAATGCAGGAAGATCTAATAATTCGATGAATTTCCATGTTAATCGACAGCATACTAACCAATCTCATCAAAACTCTAATTCCCAAAACTCAAACTATCAATGTAATAATAGAAATCCAAACTCTAACTTCCAAAACTCAAACTATCAACATAATAACAGGAATCAAAACTCTAATTCTCAAAACTTAAACCAAAACTCGAGCAATCAATTTAATAGAAGACCTTATCGAAATTCGACAAATCATAATCCAGTTTTTCGCGACTCACCTCATACGAATTCAAGGCAGAACGCGAACGTTAATTCAATTCAATACAATTCTAATGTACCAAATTATCAACCAAGTCATTCAAATTCTTTAAACTCCAACGCTCCTCCAATGACGAACACCTCACTGGAGGATCATCTCAAAACTTTAGCGGTGTTCGAGAACGACGAGAACTAACAATATTTCTTGCTGAAAATAGCTCAAGTTTCATTGAACTAGAAAGTAAATATTCAAAAAATCAAAACAAAAAACTCCGATTTTTTACTTGATACTGGTGCAAGCTGCTCATTGATAAAAGCCAAGAAACTCAATCCTGAGATAACTAAATTTGTTCCTTCAGAAAAAAATATCTCTTCATGGACTCTGTCC